GATCTAGTCGATATCGACTTTCGACGACTGGTAAAGACGTTAACGAAGAAAAAGTCTTCCTACGTGAGTATACGTACCTTTTTATTTTTACTAAGAACAACGTAAGAATACTGTCAGAGAGACGTTTCTTAGGATGAGACGCAATATCTTTGAAAAGTTACAATGGTCCCCACGTTTTGTTCTATTCTTCTACGGGGGACAAAAAAAATATAACAACTAAAAGAGAAGAAAAGAAAAATAAGAATGACAATAAAAAAAAAAAAAAATAATAAAAAAAAAGAGATGAAAAAGAGGAAAGAAGAAAAGCGAAAGAACGAAGGAAAAAACAAATATCGCAAATCATTTCGCAGACACCGTGGATAGGTTATGTATAAATATGTACAGGTATGTAGAAATATACGGGGTGATATAAAACAAGGGTTTATCAATTATTTAGGGTTGATAGTACTCACAAAATGATGAAAAAAATAAAATTCTAATAAAACAAATTTTGGTTTTATTCTTAATACAGAAGCGAATATTTTTTCTACTTTTCGGAAAACTTGTCGTACCTATAGAAATAGTAGATTTCCTTTTAATTTGGATGTGGTTATTAGCGCGACAAATTTAAAATTATTGTATTATAATAATTTCTAAGTCAATTCAGATTCTTTTACGAATCACAAAAATCGAAAAGTTTTCTTTATTGTCTAAACAAAAATTAATTTCTTATAAATAAAAATGAATTTCATTGCAAAAGAAAAACAAACAAAGAAAAAAAAATAGTTTCTATGTCAGATTAAAAACTTTTCAACCAAACCCCCACGTATCATTTATACCACAAGTTACGAACCCTTTATTTTTTATCACCCTGTATATGCATAACACAGAGAGAAGCCTCCATTGTCGAAAATGGAAAAGAAGGATATTGAATGTCCGTGTCGACGATACGGATGGATGATGTATGTATCTCGCTTGGATCTGGCCAACAGAAAATGCAACACAACCACAGAACACAAACCAACACGTAACTTCAGGGATGATACGTCGGCGGAGCTTCGACAAAAATCACTTCTAATGGATATTCATAGCGGATACTTATGCGAACCCATCGTATCGTTCAATACGCGTCTAACTAAATAGAGTTTTGCATGCATATTCATGAAAGGATATTTTGGTATAAAATGTTTCGACGTCGATATACAGAGAGTATAAATGTTCGTGTACATAACATAGGGAGTATATACGTTACAAAACCACCGACTATAAAAAACAATTAAGAGATAGGCAAAGAGGAGGAGTGGGGGGGGATGGGGGAGCATTAGGGATGGATGCAAATCGTTTTCGTTTGAACGCACCAATCCCCACCGTTCTTTTTCTTCACATTGATAAAGATCTTACGGAGTTTCTTTTTTACTTATATCTTTTCGTTTCTTTCTTTAAGATTTCTTTTTTCTTTCCTTCTATATATATATAAGAAGAAATTTTACTGCTAATATTGAAGTTGCATAAATTAAAGAAAAAGTAGCTCACCGAGCGTTTTACCGATATGCAAATCCTCTAACTTTTGCTCGATCCCTGAGCTGTTGACTCTTTCTTTCTTTCTCTTTCTTTCTATCTATCTTTTTCTCTCTCTCTCTCTCTCTCTTTCACATTCTGTTAATAAACTGAAGATAAACTGAATAAATCGTAAGAGAGAATATTTCCTAATCAGTTTTGATCTTTGATACGAAAGCTTTGCGGATACTTCGAGACAGAATTTTTCTTTTCTTGTTAATTTAAAAAAAGAAGAACAAACTTTACGGCAAACGCGTAATGCATTGTCGATGGAATAAAAATTACTGAATATAACTCATGTCAGTCGATTTTCTTTGGGTTTTAATTGACGAGATTAGTTTGACGGGAAGAGATTTAGAGAAAGAGAAAGAGAGGAAATTTTGTTTGCAATAAATCTGGAAGACTAAGAGAGAGAGAGAGTAAAATAAAAAAGAAAAGGAACACTGAAGCTGCGTAAATATTTTCGAGATACGTGTTTTGTTGGGGTGGGGGGAGGGAGGGGGATGGTTGGGTTCGTGTTCTTTCAACGAATACACCGTATGCAGTAGCACGTAGTAATTTACTAATTGAGGATCGATCGGCTCGGGATTAACATGCGTCTCTTTTCTCTTACTCCTCCTCCTCCTCCTCCTCCTCCTCTTCCTCTTCCTCTTCTCTTTATCAATCTTCCTTTCTCCCTCTCTCCCTCTCTCTCTTTGTCTATCTAGCTTTTTGTCTTTCCCTTTTTACCTTACTCTCAATAACATCGTTATAAAATTCTTCAGTAAGTGAGTCTGTGTATATGTACATATGTACATATACTAGTACACAAAATCAACGTCTCGGTTATCGTCTCGTCTATATTGGAAGAGAATTGTAGTAATTGAAAAGAGTAAAAGAGTAAACGAGAAAGTAAGAAAGAAAGAAAGAAAGAAAGAGAGAAAGAGAAGAAGATGCCGAAGTAATCACGCAGGGAATAGAAAGAGGAGGAGGAGGAGGAGGATGAGGTGGAGATGTAGGTGGCGGTGTAGGTGGGTTGGTGGGTGGGTGGTGGAAAGGGGGTGGGAGAGGATATCGTTGTATTTCGCTTAATAAACAAAGGACGCGCGCGTATGGAACGGCTGCAGCGCGCGCCACTTCCCGTATCCTGATGGTGCGAAGGAGGAGAAAGAGGTGGGGTGGTGGTGATGGTGGTGGTGTAGGAGGACGAAGTGGTAGTGGTGCTGAGGTGGGTGGAAGGGGAGATGTAGAAGGATGAGGATGAGAATGAGGAGTAAGCGAGATAGAATGAGAAAGAGGGCCGTCGAGAGATGGTGGTAGGAGGGAAAGAAGAGGGAAAGGGCGCAGGGAGCTTGCGCAAGCTTCTGTCTGATGCATCGAACACTAAGCCAGCCACGTTCCAAGCTTTTGGGACAGCAGTCGACGGCGACCTAGCTTTCCAATCGCTACGGCATCGTTTCGTTCGTTCGTTTGTTCGTTCGTTGGTTAGTTGGTTGGTTGGTTGGTTGGTTGGTTAGTTAGTTAGTTGGTTGATTTTCCAAGTGATCGAAAATTAGTCGATTTAATTCAGTATCAGCGCGTTTATGAATAAAGATTTGATTTGTTTTTTATTAAACAAAGTATATCAGTGAGGATTATTTATCTCTTCTTAAAGAAGGATTCAAAAAAAGATTCATTTTTTTTGAGTTTCTTTTTTTCTTTCTTTGTCTCTCTCTCTTTCTCTCTCTCTCTCTCACGAACTCACTCTTACTCCATCTCTGTTCCCGTTTCTTCTATCCTTTTGGAACAAATTATCAGAATTGTTCTCATAGCGAATCATTGTCATTATTGTCATCATCGTCACCCTAAAATTTGGGTAAACACGAAAGAAAAGAATTGCAATCATTAAGGATTGGACCATTAGGATTGAAAGTTGAGATTCGCGTTGTTGACATCATTGTCCTTGCCACCGTTCCGATTGTCCTAAACTTCATCCTTGTAATCGCGCAAATCTTTCTTTCTTCTCTTCGGCAACGAAGGGCTCCGGAGGGTCGTCGAACTTAACGTAACTCGCAAGATGTCGTGCTGGTGGTGCATTCGAGAAAGCGAAAAGCTCTGAAAGCGTCGGGATTGCTACATACAGAGACATATAGAAGCTCTTGCAAGCTCTCTCGCAAGTTCTAGCTAAAGCTACCTAGTTATTTAGCTAACCTTGCTTGCTTCCTTCCTACTTTGATTAAATGCTGCACGAGGAAGAAAGAGATTCGATATCATCCTCTTGGACTTTCTCTCTCTATCTATCCTTCTCTCTCTTTTCTTCTTTCTTTCTCTCCTGAAAGAGAAAGAGAGAAAAAGAGAGAGAGAGAGAGAAGAAAAATTGTTCATCACGAGAATCACGGAATCACCGTTACAACGCGATGGCCGCAAATGAGCATGCCCGACCGAGCAACTTCATTTTTTATCTTTATTATTTTTCCACCCCTTTTGTTTCTCTGTGTTGTTTTCTCTTCCTTTAACAACTATCATATTATATTCATCATGCGCGCGCGGTATGTTAATTATTAATGATCGTTTACATACACGCGTTTATCTTCCGAGCCCCGATACATTTCATTTCTCGAAATGATTTTATTGTTATTTATTACTATCAAACAACACATCGAATGAATTAACTCGAACAAATAAAATACATGGGAAAATTATTAATTACATTTTTGTCGATATTTTCATTTTTATTTCTCTCTTGTTACATTTTTATTTTTTTTTCTATTTATTTATTTATTTATTTCTATAAAAGAGATTTTATGTATTGCGCGTGGTATATTTTATCTCTCTTATCTTCTTTTGCACTTTTGACGACTGACTTTTCTCTCTCCCTCTCTCTTTCTCTCTCTCCCATTCTCTCTTTTTATTTTTTTTTTTAAAATATATATATCGTTCAGTTCGCGAGATACGCGGGGGTGGGAGGGGGGGTTCTTTCGGTACTTCGGTCGATAGTTTTCTCGCACGATGTGTGGGCAACGCGTAATGTAGAAACGATAAAGCTCAACGTAGGAAGCTTAGCGAGAAAGATGAAGAGACGACTGGAAAAGCTTCCAAAAAAGAAAAGAAAGATAAAGAGAGAGAGAGAGAGAGAGAAAGAGAGGAATTTGCGGAAAGTTAGGAGTATCTCGCGATTTGTCTCGCGGCGAGACGCTAGCAACGTTGAAACTTGTGAATAAAAGATCCCACGGAATAGCTTCTATCTCATCTACAGAAACAGACGGACGGACAGACGTATACCTTGACTAGTTTCTATTTAAACAAGATTTTATACGTTTTGACGCTCTCAACTCTCTGATCATTTTATATTCGAAGATAAAAGTTTCTTCTCTTTTGTGTGATTTGAAATCAAATTTCGAGGATAAATTCACAACGATAAATAAAAAAAAAAAAAACCCTAGCGAAGTTAATAATAAAATACGAATGTTTGCCTTTAATATTATTAAATAGATACAATGAAAAAAAAAAAGTATACACTTTATGTTTACGAATGTCTTAAAAGATGTTGTTGTAAGTGATGTAAGAAATGTAAGTATAGTGAATAAGAAGAAAGTGAAGGAGGAGGGGGAGGAGGAGGAAGGAGTCTCTTTAACGTGATCGAAAGAGGGGATTAACTGTTAAATTTATGGAGAATTATCAGCACGTTTTCTGTCGAGTAAACGACCGAGATGATGGGGGTCCGAGTCCGAACGAGACACTTCCGGTGTTTTGCGTGCTCGTTGATAATACGATGGTGGTGCATCAACTGGTTAAACTTTCCTAGGACAGTTAATGGTAATGTCTTTGATCTCTTCTTTGATTAAAATGAAAGAAATAAAAAAGAAAACAAGAAAACAAATTCAAAGGAAAAGAGAAAGAAATGAAAAGGTAGAAAGAGAGAGAGAGAGAGAGAGAAAGAGGTTGAAAAAGGTAGAAATAGGTAGACGTACATATATACACACAAATACACATACACACACACACACATCATTCATACAGAGGTATATAGAAATGTAGAAAGAGAAAGAAAATCGAATCGGTATTGGAATCTTTGTATGGAAACGAGGGACTGACTCTCGAGGCTTCCACGTAATCCATCCACTCGTGCAGAACCCCGACGACTCTGGTGGCCTCCTTTTATTTTCAGCGTTCCTCCTAACTAGACGGCACGAGTTTCCGTTCGCGAGACTCTCTTCCGTTCGCAATCAGCACTTCCACGAAGTAGGACGCACGAATATCGTCGTTCCCTACCGAAAATTCGACTTCGTGTCCCATTAATCTTCAGGGAATATGAAAGACGGCCGATTACGAGCTCTCCTATTAGTTTTCCTTACAATTATGCTCCGAGGCATAATTACAATAACCTCGTTTTTTCTTTTTTCTTCTCTTTTTCTTATAACAGAAACGCTCGAATAAAATCTGAATATAATATTATAATAATTATATATTTGTTAGTCGTTGTCGTTTAAAAAAAAAACAATGTGTGTAGAGTTGTAGAAATGTTTGTTAGAAAAATTGTGCAATTGTGTTTTACTTTTCCGCGTTTAGTTTCAAAAATTGCAATAAAATATGTTTCCAACAAAACCCAAATTATCTCTTTTATCAATTCGATAGAAAATTACGCAACTGACTATATATGAATGATTATTATCTAATAAAAGATAATATAACAACGAACTGTGGAAAATAACTTTCTTCTTTGATGTTTCTCCTGTGCAGTTATCGTGATATCAGCTTGTAATAAGTTACATGACACTGTTATATATAAAAGAGATGAAAGGGATCGTAAAAGTGTGTGTTTGTCGTTTGTAGATCGCAAAGAAACTTGCATATACATGCATATACAAATATAAAGAGAGAAAGAAAGAGAAAGGGTGAAGGAGAAAGAAAGAGAGAGAGAGAGAGAGAGAGAGAGAGAGAGAAAGAGAGAGAGAGAAATATAAAGAGGGTAACAAAGTAAGGGTTGTAACTATATTGCATTATGTACTCAGGTGGAGGAAGGCAAATGAAGGTGCAAGAAGAAGGAGAACCGCAGGTGGATTGACAATCTCACCGGCAGCGGTCGCTCTATCGAACGATGACAACAACTATGCTTTCGAGGAATTGGGGCTGGGGGTTGTTCGTTCTTGTTTTTCTCGTTCTTGCCACCCCCAGTCCCGCTGCCATTCGCAGAGGTATGTCTCACGATTCCTTAAACTAATAATAAGCACGATTTTCATTCCTTTTCTTTCTTTCTTTCTTTCTTTTTTTTTCTTTATTTATTTAATTCTTTTCAATTTTTCGAGTTATTTTCTTGTTTCTCTGTTCTTTCATATTTCTACTAATTCCTCTAATCTTAGAAAAGAAATAACTGAAAAGTTTTCATCCCTTCGGATTTATTTCATTCAAATTCACCGAGCTTTACGATTCTCAATGTCGCCAGCAGCGGTGTACTTTTTCTTTTCCCTTAAGGCATTTCATCGTTCTCTCTCTCTCTCTCTCTTTCTTTTTTTGACGAAAATATGTGTGTGTATGTGAAAGAGAAAGAAGGAAAGAGAGAGAGAGAGAGAGAGAGAGATAAAAAAGAAAGAAAGAAATAGAGAAAAATCTGACGTGTGGCTGCGCCAGCGTTTTCCTCTCTTAGCCCTGTAGGGGAGTCAAGCTTTTGCCCCTAACAAAAATGTAAAACCCGTGAAAGCGACGTTATTCAGTAGAATAGAAAAAAGACGAGGAAAGTAGAAGATCCCATCGAAGTATGAGGAATATACGAGACATATTTCTTTGCGTTTGCAAAAATTCCTTCAATTGGTTTCTTCGATTTACCGTATTCTATCTGTGTTTCTAGACATTTCATATACATTTTCTCTTTGAATATATTTTAATAATACGATACATTTTTCTTTTTTTTTCTTTTTTTTTTTTTTTTATATAGATCTTCTCTCCGTATATATATATATTTTTTTTGTATGTATTTCGCGTAAATAATAAATACGCGATAATTAATCAAATTATTTTCAATGATCGTGAAAATTTGCTCTTCGAAATATTTATAATGATGTAGAAAAATGAATTGAAAAAAAAAAAAAAACTGATACAAGAAGAATTAACGAGGATAGTGTTTAAAAAAAAAAAAGAAAATAAAACAATACAAATCTGATACATATTTCGATGTGGGTTACTTATCCTTGCGAATTGATATGATGGTCCATATTTAAAGTGGGACATCCTATATAATATTGTATATATGTGTATGTATTGCCGTATACATACATATATATATATATATATCCAATGGACCACTTTCTTGTCTCTTCGTGTCGAGATACTGCGCTCCCATTCTCATCTCCCAATTTCCTATTTGTATTCGATAGAAGGACGAACGACGAAGTTGATATAAAAGCGAAAAGTAATCGAACGAACGTTCAGTTATATCGACGAAAAAGGACCAACCAAGAGAGGAGATACAGAGTTAGAGAGAGAGAGAGAGAGAGAGAGAGAGAGAAAACGAAATTGTGAGATAAAGAGACAAAAAGAAAAGGAAAAAAAGAGAGAAAGAGAGTGATAGTATGTGTGTATATGTGAGAGAGAGAGAGACATGATAGTTTATGAGAAATAAAGAGAGAGAGAGAAAGAGAGTGTGCGTGTGAAATAGAGAGAGATAGTGTATGAGAAAGAGAGAAAGTGATTGTATGTGTGTCTGTGTGTGTGAAAGGGTTAGTTTATGAAAAATAAAGAGAGAGAGAGAGAGATAGAGAGTGCACGTATGAAAAAGAAAGATAGTTTATGTGAAGAAGAGAGAAATAGATACACAGAGAGAGAGAGAGAAAGAAAGAAAGAAAGAAATAGATCGATACGATTCCTTTTCGTAGTCCGATAAAACCAGTAAGGATTTTCAATAGAAGAACTACGACGACGAGGACGATTGTCTTCGAGGAAGACTATGACAATCGAAGAGGACTTTATAGTAGATACAAATAAAGCCGAAAAATCGTTTTGCACATTTTCCTTTCCTTTCCAGTTTCCAGTTTCCTTCGGTTTTCTGTCCCTATTTTTTTTTGTTTCGAATCTTCGTTATCACGAGAAAGAAAATAAAACAGATCGAGTATAAAATAATATAAAATACATACATTGAAAATGTGTGTACATGTATATGAAACGTACATATATATATATATATACATATGATTCTTATATTAGGTAGCAAACGATGCGAGACCCTACAGACGGTAAATCAATAACAATTTACTCCTACCTTCGATCCCTCACACTCCAACCCCTACTACCACCCTCACTCACTTCATACCGCATATAGGTATAACTCGCGGCGTGGCAAACACGGCAAAAGCCGAATCGATTAAGCGTCTTTCGGTCTCTCTCTCACTCTCTCTCTCTCTCTATTTCTCTTTCTCTTTCTCTCTTTTTATCTCTCTCCTTTTCTTTATATTTTTCGTGAAAAATAAAGACATTTGTGAGTCACGACAGGCAAGAGAAATTTATTTTCCAAATTTATTCTTCTTTCTTTGTTACATTTCAACAATCTTCCTCCCCCCCCCACCTCCCTTTACTTCTCTACCGTCACCCCTTTTTGTTTTGAAGGCTTCTCCCTTAAATCATATTCTATCTTGTGTTTTTCTTTATTTCCCTTTGTTTTCTTTTCTTTTTTTTTTTTTCTTTTTTCTTTCTTTTGATAATACTCGTTCTAATAGGACACTTCTCCTTGAATGATCTCGTTGGTACCTCGCCAAGATACTTTTTCTTTCTTTCTTTCTTTCTCTTTTTCTATTTTTTTTTTTTTCCTTTCTTTTTCTTTTTCTTTATTACTCCTGATACACTCTGGGTGGTTGGAGGCATCAACCGACGACGACGATGACAACAACGACATAAAGGAGGGAAACTCGAGTGATGACGACCAGCCTCCGAGAAGAGGGTCGCCTGGAAGATACATGACTAGGGGGTTACGAGTGGATGGGGGGATTATGAGTGTCGTGCAACAAGATGATCGACTATCGCTTCTTCTTCGTCTTCTTGACTTTCCCGTTCCTACTTTTTCTTTTTTTTAATATTTTCTTTATATCTCATCCCTGTTAACTTCTCTCCTCCCTCCTCTCTTTCTTATATTTTTCTCTTAAAAGTTTTTTTTTTTTAATCCTTTACAAAACGTTTAGAATTAAACGCGATAGTTATCGATGAATAATGCATCTTTTTTTTTTTTTTAACGAAATTTACGTTTAATCAAGAATCACCAATATTCATGAGAAAGAAAAAGATTTTCATTATTAACGTGCACATGTACACACCCACACATACACATGTTATAAACGTGTAGAAAGTAATTTAGGATATATATCCGTTGAAACTTTTTTTTATCGATATTATGAATGATTAAATATCGATTTCGGAATAGATCGACGTTCCCAATCTCTTATCCAAAAAATGTATAATACGTTCATACATTTTTGAATAAAATAAAACTAAAAGAAAATCTCATGATAATAATATAACGAATTAATGAATTTTGAATTAACAGCGGACCGTGGCCACTGCAACAAGACCGTCGACATCTACGAGGATGTTTCTAGCCCTGCAGTGACCGCTGCCAACATGGGAAAACCACTTTACTGTTGGTACCGTTTTCGTGCTTTTCGTGGTACACCTAGAGATTGGATTCTTCGTGTACGTTTCAAGAAATTCAAAGTTGGCGTATTGGAAAATGCTACAACTTGTTCGGGTGGTTACCTCCAGGTAAGTTTCTTTTTTTATTTCATTTTTCACATGACAAAAGAAAAAATCACGCGTGTACAACAACAATTAACACAAAAATACTCTTACACACACATTTCGCATAATTTTATTTACATACATATTTTATAATACATTTAAAAGTTTTTAAAACATTACTACCAAAAAATTAGAACAAAATTTCTATACCTCGATGATCGAATATTAATCCGTAAAATCCAGATTGTGTTAAATGGTGGAAGGTGATAGGAAAGGAGTAAACGATTCTGTTTAGATGATGGAAGATTTTTTTTTCTTCTTTTATTGATTCGAAAGGAAATTTCTTCTTATTGCTTTCAGGATCGTTTAGAATCACTAATGATTCTATAGAAGGTTGGGATTGGGGTGAAGGGAGTTAGGAGAAAGAGGGAATAAGGGGAGGGGGGGAGAGAGGGAGAGAAAGACTTAGTGGGATGGGAACGAGGAGAATGAGGAGGATGAGGATGAGGAGGATGAGGAGGAAGGTAGGATGGATGAAAACGCATTGTTCGTAGCGAAATGCATAGTGCCTTGGACGGCTGATTGTGCGACGTCCATTAACGAGAGAAATACGGCTGGGCAAGCTATCCTTCATCTAAAGTCGTGCAATTAATTAGCGGAACAAATTGCGCGCGCGTTGGTCCGGTGGAACAGTCAGAATATTAGACGAGCGAAATTGGCCCTGGCTATATTATATGAGAGGGCTAAAAGAAATAAAAAGCTTCTTCGTTCTCCTCTTTTACGTATACACATATATACGAGCGCGTATGTATATTTGTACGTAACACATACATATAAATTACACGTATACGCATAATACAATTATTATTATGATTATTATTACTCGTAATTCCGAAAAAAAAAAAAAAACATTTTTTCCAAACGAATCCTTTTATAGATTCGTGAAAATATTTAAGAATCATAGTTTCATTCGATTTATCTATTTATTTAACTATCATGAATTTACGGGTTTGTGTGAACTGCAAAATTGTCCATGAATTAGGTTTAATTGAGATAAAAGATAATAAAGAAAAGAAGAAAATAAAATATTGTAGAGAAAAATAACAAATGTCCAATTTTTATAAGGATTAATTACGATGTTATTATTCATTTTTATTTAAATTAACTTTGTGTATATATATAGTAACATGTAACTTGCATATATAATATATTACATAAATAATATATAAATAATAATTATAATAATAATAAGAATAATATATTTATATATATACACACGTAGATATATGAATATACATAACTTTATATGCATAACAATAATATAAATCGTCAAGTGTACAGAATTGATAACGTTTAATTCCTCGTTAAGAACGCATTCTCGTTGTTAGCTTCGTGCTAACAAACGAACTATACGTTCATTATTTTACGTTTCTATCGAGTATCACTAATTTGACTGCATATCTGTATAACATATCCATACGTATATATATATACATATACAAACGCATTTCTATATATATATAAATAAATAAATAAGTAAAATATACATATATAAATGATAGCGCCAATCAAAATCCTCTTTCTTCCATTATAAATTCAGGAACGTATGCACAAACACAAGCATACATATAAATACCAATACACGTATATATATCTCTCAGCATTACTTGAAAATCGGACGAGTACCAACCAACTCGAATATGAATGAACTCTAAGTCAGAAAGGTACATAACCGTGAATAATCTTCGTTAATCGAGGATGGAAAGGGCTCTCCCGCATATTTCGAAATTTACCATACGTTGGCAAAGCCAAAGCTCTGTGAAAATTAAAAGAATTTTCTTGCTCTGCAAGAAAGAGAAAAGGATAGAGAGAGAGAGAGAGAGAGAAATAGAAATTTCCATCGTAAGAAATATTTCGTTCGTTCATTCGTTCATTCGTTTTCTCCTCATTAAAACACATAACCAGTTGGAGCTTACGAAGAGTTAATCAACGCTGATAAAAGCGGTGAATAAAATTGCTATATTCGTTGGTAAATATCGTCCGTAATGCACACTAGAGTACTCCTAACGTCGTTGCAAAACGACTATTGATCTTCCTAACACCGAGCAGCTCTTCCCTCCCTTTTCCTCTTCTCCCTCTTCTCCTCCTCCACCTTCAACTACACTCCCACCTTCCTCCTCTTCATTCTCCTCTCATTCCCTCAACCCTCTCTGTTATCACCTCCACTCGCATTGGTAGGAACTCTACCACAATTATGGTACTTTTAAAGTATTATACTAGATGCTGCTTCGGAGGTTTCTCTCAAAACCCTACGAATATCATCGTTATTACGATCCTTCCTCTCGTACTTTATATTGTACCGTTTCTTTTTTTTTTTTTTCTCTTTTTTTTTTTTTCTTCTCTACTTACCAACGATCAGAATTCGTTTTCGTCTTCCGTTATTTGTCCTTGCTTTTTTTTTTTTACTTCTTCTTAAACTTACTTTTAACTTTCTTTGTGTATTTTCTTTCATTTTTTATTTTTTTAAACTATTCTTTCAGTTTGGTTTTTTGTTTTCTTTTTCTCCTCGTAAGTATGATGCTCCATATCTTATCGTGGATAATTTATTGTCTCTTAGCCGGAGGCACCCATTCAGATATGCGCGATCCTACCGAACGATAAGTAAGAAATTATTAAAAAGTACAAAGAAACTCAGGAATAAAGTTTTCGAGGGATAAAGTTTTTTTCGAGCATGATATCTCGATTACGAGAACTCGTATTATTCGTGATACATAACTATACGACAATGAGCACGATTAAAGATCGTTTGATCGTATACTATGATTATTATGTCGTAAAAAAAATATATCTCGCGAGTTGGTGAAAAAGTAATTTTGTTACTTATATATAATTATATATTTTCGTTACTCGCCCCTTTTGCTAATCTTTTTTATTATTTTAAATTAATCTTAATTTAAACCTCTAAACACCACATTTTATATTTTAACGAGAGACATGTCAGACGTCATTTATAACTTTCTTGCCTCTCTCTTTCGATCCTTCGAGTAGTCTTATTTTATCATCACAGTTAAAAATGGAACATTAACGTCAGGATTTTCGTCATCGTTTGACAAACAAAAATTATATGTCATTTACAAATAGAATGTGTTCAGTGAACTCCAATTGTCAAAATTGATTTACCAATTTTAGTTTTGATAATTTTTGATCATTTCTCTTGAAGCTTCTCGTAAAGTTGAAGAAAAAAAAAAACGAAATTATTTAAAAATAATTATTCATAAATTTGGTATATATTTACTATACATTTTTAAATCAAATAAATTCGACCAGATCAACAGATATATCTATCAATAAACCGTTGTTGGGTGATAAGATTTAAACTTTATGAGTTACTTTACATAAGTTTCTTCTTGGAAAGTGGTTTGATGAAAGAAACTAAAAGATAGATGCATACATAGATAGACAGATAGATAGATAGATGGATTGATAAATAAATAGAGATAGATATAGGTATATGTAGATTTGCCTATGGGACAATATTTTACGTCGTAGCTAAAAATAAATTCGCGACAAGATAACGCTGATGGATAGCTTCTCTTGAGCCTGATAAATACGTTTTGCTTTGATATCCTAAAGGCCGCTATAGTTTCCGTAAATTCACCTATGAAATCGTATTATACTGGTACGTACGTACAGATAAATAGATAGATAGGTAAGTATTTATGTAGGTATTTAGGTATTTAAGTAGGTAGAGATGGGTTTGTAAGAGAGGGCTTGGTAAAAGGTCTTTGCACTACCACTATTACTTCTCTACTCCTAGACAGTATATATATATATGTATATATATACTAGTACGACCAAGTGAAACTTTGATTACGGTACCGACGACGACGACGACGACGACGACATCGTGTAGGCAACGTTTGCTCAACAGACGGACGATGCTATGTAACGATGTTCTAGTATTGATACACATACTCGTAAGAACATTGAAATCTCTCCCTCTTTGAGTCGAGTAAAAGTTGAATGAATGAACGTTCAAAGGATCTACCCTAAACGTACCTTTGACAGTTTATTAATAACTTGTTATTAACGACTACGAAAATAGTTATATTCAAGAAACAATAATTACATTTATTTATTTATCTATATCTTATCTATCTGTCTCTTTTCATCAAAATTATTCAAAATTATTTACAGAGAAGAAGCCCGCTTCGATCATCTCGAGATGATTATTATATCTTTCTTTTTTTTTTTTTATTTAATCCATTTAATGTCCATTATTATCACAACCAAGTCATTTCTACTTAGCCAAGTAGAAACTTAGTAAATATTCTCCCTTTTGCTTTATCTTTCTTTATCAAGGAAGAACAACCATCAAAGCGTTCCATCCCGCTTCTCTCTCTCTCTCTCTCTCTTATTCTCTCTCTCTTTAGAGATCGCGTTAAAAGATAAGTCGAGCTCGCAAACAGACTGGCAATCGCAGCAGGGCAAAATGGACGGAACTCGATCACGCGTATAGATTGTAATGGGTCTATTAATCCTACCGAACAGAGTCTCGCTTTATCCTGGCTGGCTTATCGCAATGATCGTTTACATGCGAACTACAGCTGGGGTATTGAATTTGCGAGATGGCTCCTACCGCAAAGCCTAATTAGCGCGCAACACTAGATATGCTTCGCCTTCCGCTTTCGGCTCCTATCCTTCTATCGTCTCGTTAACCTTCCCACAACTCTCACCATTTCCTTCGTAAATTGAGAAACGTCGGATGTTCTTCGATAGATAGATAGATAAATAGATGGATGGATGGATGGATGGATGGATCTAAATAACAAACCTGGACAGACAAATTTACCTAACTAGGATTTTCTTACCTCTTGTTAATAAGTAAACTTTGTTTGAAATGTTTTGAATGTTGTTTATGTAGGATAAGTTTTCATGTTCGATTCGTGTTTTCTCACCATTGTGATACAAGTTCTTAGGTTTGTCTGTTAAATTTTAATTAGAAGGCTTTCAGATAAGTCCAGTGTATTTGGTAATAAGATTCTTGTAACGCGGTACGCGATGGAGGAAATACACACCTACGACTACTATGGTAGAAACACAAATCGTAAGGACAGTTTCGCCGGAAAGCAAAGTTTACGCAAGCTCCTACTGCTTCTCGCACCCTCCCGCGGATTAATTCCAGCGAGAACACTTGCCCCTCTTTGGCCCTGGGATTCTCCGACGAGTAGAAAGCTAGTGGTGGTAGTGGTAGTAATAGTAGTAGTAGTAGTAGTAGGGAGGAAAATCAATTTGAGAAAAAACAAGGGCGTCTCGAGAGGAGAACGAGGAAAAAAGTTGGACGAGGAAAGGGAAATTCTTATTTGTTCTTTCTGTTATTTCCATTATTTTTATATTTATTTTATTCTGTCTCTCTTTCTGTTCTTCCTTTTAATTTGTTTGTTGCAGATCATAGATGGCAATACGAAAACCGAGGTGAGCAATCGCAAAGACCCCGGTGTCTATTGTGGCGAATCCGAGCAACCGCAAACGTTCATTTCCGAGACGAGTTTCGTACGAGTGATCTTCCACGCAGAGAACTTCACGGACCAAACTTACTTCAGTTTCGACTCGCGGGCAGAACAGCAGCTCGACGTTTACCTGAGGTACGGCCAGCATCCAGAACTTTATCCAAACAGAAGAGGCGAAATCGTGCCTGGGAGTTACTGCGAGAGGGTTTTTAAGGACTGCAGATTGCAAACGTGCTACGTACAGAGCCCAGCCTTTCCGGGTATTTATCCGCGAGCTTTGCATTGTAAATACAAGCTTAATACACGATTGCCATTCATAAAGCTCTACATAGAAAACGAGGAGTTCAATATCGACGGGCAACGATGCGAGAATATAATGACCTGCCCGATGAGACCGATAAGCTCCGGCTCGGAACATTGTCCCTACGATTATATACGTGTCTTCGATGGGAAAGATGAAAATAGCCCGGTGATCGGTACATTCTGCGGTATGGGCAAATTTCCCTATAGTATAATCGGGACCAGCGAGGATCTATATGTCGAATTTGTTTCATCGCCAGCCGGTCCCCTACTCAACACGGGTTTTCACTTCAACGTTGGCAATTGGCCTGGTCACGTCGAGACGGCGGGTGTTAAAAACGGTAGTTGCGATTGGCTACTCAACAGCGAGTCCCTCGAACGCGGTAACGAAGGTATTTTTCTGTCCGTCGCCCACTGGTACCCACCTCATACAAGTTGTACCTATTTGCTCAGAGGTCGCCCCGGCGAAATAGCCCGACTTTATTTTCCAAGTTTCCGTGTCAATCGAATCGAATCGCCCATCAAGCCTTACGACGGCGACTGCGGCGAGAGCCTTACACTCTACGATGCGGATTGGCCGGACGATGCTAGAATAATCAAGACCTTTTGTGATACATTCAGCAAGCCCATGGAGAAACACGATTTTGTCTCAACCTCAAACGCTTTATTCGTTAGATTCGAAAGTAAAACCGGCAGTTATTCCGGTAGTTCTCTTTATTATTGGGCACATTACGATTTCTTTAATGCTACGAGATTCGGGGAGCCTGTACCTGGGACGGAATGCGACGAAAAATTTACTTCTTGGAGAGATCGTGCTGGACGTTTGAGATCACCCCTGAATACATTGATTTATAAACGACCTGGAAACCCACCGGTGGATCTTTCCTGCACCTATACATTTCTCACGGACAAAAGACTATTCGCTCGAGTGATTCTAACGATCGAATCGGTATCGTTCAAGGAACGTTCCACGGGTCACTGTGGTCACTGTTGGGATAGTCGAGTCGATAGATTGATCGTACGAGAACCTGGACCGGATGGTGTTAAGGGTACTTGTATATGTCGTCGCGACGAGGAGGACGGTACACCCATATCACCTATCAGAATAGTATCCCGTGGCGAGAAACTAGAACTAAAGTTTCTAATAGACGGTGTTCGAGCTGCAGCGAATTACTTCAAACAACCTTCGCCGATTTTCGAAGCCAATTACGAATTCGCTCACAGTCCACTATGCGGTCCTGCCATATTACCTGCTACCACCGACGGCGAGATCGAATTTCCTCATTACGAGGTATTAGGATTCGTTGCACCACCTAGATCGATCAAGTGTATTTGGGAGTTAAGGGTCAATTTGGAACGAGACTTGTGGCTACATTTCGACAAAATAAAATTTGCCTCCCGTTCTTGCGAGGATGGCAAACTCGAGATCTTTCTTCCCGGATCTAGCGATCCCTTTCTTGGTATTTGCGGGGAGAACGTAAGTTATGTAAGAGAGATGCCGATTATTTCGGCTGGTCAAATTCTACCAATCGATCACGACGACACTGAATATTCAAATATAATTATTCAATTTACCGGATCCATGGCGCCGGCAAGAGTAGCCTTTAAAATTGCTTGGACCGAACTTTATCATTTGCCAAGGGACAGCTCGGGCGGACTGAACACCCAAAAACTCGACGAGGAATGTGGCTTCCGTTGTCCGGGTGATGCCGGTTGCATACCTATGAGGTTGGTATGCAACGGTGTCGTCAATTGTCCTAGTATTAGTTCGAGTAGCGTAATCCCGTACAGTAACAACAGTCGTCCCGAACCTAACGACGAGTCTCTCGAAAGCTGTGCTGGACCTCTTGGATCAAATGGTGGAAGTGTCGTTGGTCCTGCTGGTTGGGCTGGGGCCGGACTTGGTGCTGGCTTGACTATACTACTTGCAGTATCTTGCCTCATCGTGGTGTGTCGTATTTGTAAACGCCGTTCTCGTTCTAGAGACATTCACGTACCGTATTAGCGTTCTGACCTGACGCAAATTTCAGCATATCGTTGTTACAACCCTTTCGTGAATTACCAACGCGAAAAACGCGAACTTCGTGATTATCATCATCATCGTCGTCGTCGTCGTCGTCGTTGCGTTGATGATTTTGTTCTCCCTCGTTCGATCACGACGACGAAAGTTTCCTCAAACTTGCACGATTTTTCCTCCAAAATAATATCTTACTTTTCGTACCTAAGCCGAATGATAATAAACAACTGTCAACTCGCAACAGTTATTACTGGTCGTTAGGAAAGTTTATCGTTAACGTCGCCGTATGAGTTTGCGAGAGAGAATATACATACTTGCAAAATAATAATACACGTACGTGTATTCCCATAGGTCCCAGGACGCGAAAGTGCCAATGAAAATTCTATCCCTCATTTTGACGGCCATTTTTGAAACTAACCATATTATATATATATATATATTATACGGAGGAATATTTCGTGGAAGGGAAAACAATGGAACTATTATTAATGGAGGAAAAAAACAAAAAGGTATGATGTGCGGATTCTTGCTCACGGTGTTAAAAAAAAAAAAAGAAAAAAAAAAATTAACTAATGGACGTTCGTGTTCGGTGAGGACTAATGCAAATTTTTAAATATATAAATATATAAATATATATATATATATAAATATAAATTATATATATATATATAAATAAAAATAAGAAAAGTGTTATATCAGATTTTATTAAGGAACATTGTTAAGATGACTCGCGACGGAATCGATAAGAAGAAAATGAGAATTGATGATTAGTATTTTCAATCATTTTTTCCCCCAATACTTTTTCTTTTATATTATTCTTGTTCCTTTTTATTATTATCTTCTCGTCAAAAAAAAATACAGATTTAAGTTTAACCGTGCTGGTAATCTATTTTTTCTCTTATCCTGTCGGTTATTATATCTGACTTCTTTTTCTTTTTTTTTTTTTTTTTAATTCTACATTCTTTTTCGTATTTTTCTCTTTTTTTTTTCTTCTCTCTCTCTCTCTTTCTCTGGTAATCCTGCTTCTGGTAAGAATCGATAATAGGAGAGAAATGTGACAATCTCGACTAACCGAACTTCCCATCTGGACTATCCACTTCCGTGGTAGCTTCATAAAAAGCTAAATGAATTCTCGATAAAGTCGTAAATCCCTTTCTATCCGTTGGTACGCGCGGGTCCGGCATAAGCCGTTGTTATTTTCTCGTTAGGATACGTCCTCCATGGAAAAGGCAAACTGAGGTGAGGCGGTGTAGAGTAATAGCAAGTCGAGGAAGCCCGATGCTAAAGTTTATCGCGAAATAATAATATCATAAAAGTTCGTTAAAGAAGGGAAACAAAAGCGTTTCTGGTTACTCGCCCAAGGGAACCTTTCCTTTCGTATATTTTCTACATCTAGATCGCATCTTCATTATTATTATTATTATTATTATTATTATTATTATTATTATTATTATTATTATTATTATTATTATTATTATTATTATTATTATTATTATTATTATTATTATTATTGTTGTTATTGTTATTATTATTGTTGTTATTATTATTATAATTATTGTTATTATTTGGCTTGTTAAAATAAAAACACGAAATTTTTTGCGATTTGTTGTAATCCAAAGGATTTCGCGTTTTCGCGTGTTACCTCAGTTGCGCCAAATAGAACGAAAAAAATTTAATAAAAAAAGTAATGCGTGGAAAAAAATTTTAGAGGGGATAGAAACAACGTTTCGTTCTATTGGTTCAAAAAAGTGTTTTAAATTGAAAATAAAATAAAATAGAAACAACAACAAAAAATACATAAGAAACGTAAAAAAATTAGATTTTCATTTACAAGTGACGAGATACGCTCATACACTCACCCACACACACACACACACACACAGAGGTGGTACGGCTTTAATTCATCGTATTGTAGACATTCACTTTAAATTTTGGAATACGCGATGCTGAGTACTCTCACCGATTTATATTATTTTACATTTATGTGCATATTGTGTGTGTGTGTGTGTGTTCAAATGTACTTGAAAAATACACACACTAAACCATATACAGTTATACTGAAACCTAGTAATACTCGAAATAACAAAAAAGTGATTTTAAAACGATACAAATCCCGAATTTCATATGACACAAATTACCAGTCCATAAAAAATGTTTAGCATCATACAATTATAAAAAATAGTTCCATTTTGTATTAAATAAGTGATACGAAAATATTGCAAGGGAACGAAAAAAAAAAGTAAATAAAATCAAATCTAACCAAAACAAAAAATAGCGGATAAAAATAAATTTACATTTTAAACAAAAATATAACAATTTTTCAACTAAATTTACTCGATATCAAATCATCACCGAACATTTGCTGAACATTTTGCATAACTTGTTCCATATATAAATACATACATAAATATATATATATATATATGGTGGCGGGGAGGGGTGGAGAGAGGAGGAGTGAAAGGGAGAAAGGAAATTCAAGGTAATTAAGCGCAAAATGTTAAAGTTATGTACTTATACAGTCACATAAAAAAGCATACACATGCATAGGTACATGCAACTCATTTAACAGAGTTAGAAAATTACTAAAGTGTATTTATTGCCAAAAAAAGAAAAAAATTCGTTTAGTTCTATTTCGTCGTGGCTTTTTTTGTTTCTTCTTCTTCTTTTTTTTTTTCTTTTCTTTTCCCCTGATTACTGGCTGTGGGAATGAATTAGGCGCGATGTTCGTCTCGTGTCTACCATCAAGATAGGAGGAAAGAAGCAAAAGAGAAAGAAAGAGAAAGAAAGAGAAAGAAAGAAAGAAAAAGAAAAAGAAAAAAGTGCATAGCTTTGCGATTACCTTTACCAAATGGGGGGGGGGGGTATAGTTCTAAACTCGGTGTTTTTTTTTTAAATCATAATCTCCCGACGAGAAAAATAATTTTTATCGTAAGAATATAAAATGTTGTCTATTCCTCCACAGCCATTTTCAACCTCCATTCGACTGTCTGTCGTTTTCTTTCATTTTAGTTTTTTTCTATTCATTCTTTTTTTTTTTTTTTTTTTTTTTTTTTTTTTTTTTTTTAAAATTTTTTTTTTTTTTTTTTTTTTCTTGTGGTTTCTATTACTTCCCCCTACCCCCCCCTCCTCTTTTTCTCTAGCATATCCCTTAAAAACGTATGCCAACTTTATGGCCCTTTTCAAGNCTCCCGACGAGAAAAATAATTTTTATCGTAAGAATATAAAATGTTGTCTATTCCTCCACAGCCATTTTCAACCTCCATTCGACTGTCTGTCGTTTAATAACATTCGACTTTATTTTTAATTTGTTTTTTTTTTTTTTTTTTTTTTTTCATTTTTCTTTTATAATAATTTTTCTTTTTATATTCTTTCTCTTGTGGTTTCTATTACTTCCCCCTACCCCCCCCTCCTCTTTTTCTCTAGCATATCCCTTAAAAACGTATGCCAACTTTATGGCCCTTTTCAAGACCGCTAACGTCGAAAAGATGTAAATTTGTTCGTGCCGGTGCAGTTTATTCCAACATTGAACGGTTAAGCAACGGAGAAGGAAAAAAGAAAAAAGTAAGCTGGGTAAGGAAAAAAAGAAAAAGAAAAAGAAAAAAAGAAAGAAAGAAAGAGAGAAACGAAAAAAAAGATGGTAAAGAAAATTGGGCGTGTATACGAGCGTGTTCGTGCGAAAAAAGAAAAAGAAAAATAGGAAAAGAGAAAAAAAAAGAGAAAAAGTGAGAGAGAAAGAGAGAGAGAGAGAGAGAGAAAAAGAGAGGGTAGAAAAATAACGAAGGGTGAAAAATACAGTAAAAAAAGAGAACAGAGGAGAGAGAGAGAGAGAGAGAAGAGAGAAAAAAAAACACACAGAGGAAAGAAAAGGAAAGGAAAGAAAAATGGACGGCAAGAGACTGTGAGCAGCGTATTCTCAACAACACATCCCAGAGTGATTCTCAAGAGACGAACGTCGAAATGAAAAGTGTGAGCTCCGCCTGGGTCAGCCTTAAATGTGATAAGACAACGCGTTTATGCTTGTACATATACATAGATCGTGTTTTTTCCGTAGTTGTTAGACAATCTTCTAGTTAATACGCACACACAAAACGGTCGGGTGAAGCGTGCCGTTATTAAAATGGCCCCCAACCCCAACTGAAGATTATTGTAAAGTTGGATTTTATGAATTATCAGAATGATCAAGAGAGAGAGAGTGTGTGTGACAAAGAGAGAGAGAGAGAGAGAGAGAGAGACAGAGAGAGAGTGAGAGAGAGAGAATAATAAAAATTATAAGCGAAAACGACGGCAACAGCAACAATAAAAAAATATTTGCAACAAGAACAAAAATAATAAACAAATAAAAAGTAATAATATAATAAATAATAATAATAATAATAATAATATTAATAATAATAATAATAATTAGCCGAGCTCATATGCGTGTACGCATATCAATAGACGCGCATTCATGAGTTCATGACAACAGCGCTACATTGAATTACCGGTATAACGATATCTCATCGATATGTAACACTGCGATTATGATAATTACTATATTTTTTACTAATAAAGTTTAGCCTCAAAGTTGAGGTTAAAAAGAAGAATCTTTCTATTTCGAACACGGTTCCTTTTATTTTATCCTTTTTTCCAAGACGGGGAATTCATTTCAAAAGAGAAGAAATATCTATTTAGAAGATTGATATTTTGATATTTCCTTATCCCAAGAATGAAAGAAGTCAGGATGTATTTCTGTTAATCATTGTCCAAGAAAATGGTGACGACATTTCCAGCAGAGAGAGAATTTGTCTTAATCGAATGGGGTTTCGATCACAGTCTTCTTGTATATCCGTCTCTTTCTATTTCTTCTCCTTTCTTTCTCTCATTTTCCTTGTATCACTACCCCAAAGAAAATCACAAGCTCACAAACAAGGAAATAGTAAGTGAAATTTATGGAGTCTCTTTGTCACCTTCTCCTATCTTTCTTCGTATTTATATTCTTCAAAGAGAGAGAGAGAGAGAGAGAAATACCACACCGCAACTAAAGCTTTTACTCAGGACCACCATTAAATATCTAGATATATTATATTTTGTTCGACTATATTGTAATCGTGTTAAAACGAGTCAATGTGCTTTGAGTAATGATTTATATTTATTTTTTTTTTTTTTTCTTTTTTCTGTGAGACAATAATACTGAACAAATTTATTACTTCGTATTCGATATTTTTACTTTTCTTTAGAAATATCGATAAAATATAATCGAAAGAAATATATACTTCAAGTTAATCGATTCTTTGTAGAAAAATCGATAAAAAAATAATATCAGTTTGAAATTGTCCACTGAATTGACACCTGTCATATTTTACTTCTTTTTTTCTTTTTTTTTGTTACAAGAACCTTGTGAGTTTTTCAATTCCAGTTATCTGCCTGTCTGTATTTCTCTATCTTGGTTTTTAAAAAAGTTCCAATTACTTTTATTTTCTATTATCTCAAAAAAGATTTAAAGAAGAAGAAGAAGAAATAGTTGGTGGAATGTTGGAATTATTTTCTCCCATAAAGTGTTTTCTTCGAGAGGATCGAATTCACATCGACAACGTCGCATTTAGGTTACATTCACGCGTTACGGTTCTTGTTTTTCTCGTTTGTGCTACTCTTGTAACAGCTAAACAGTTCATAGGCGAACCAATTAGTTGCATCTCCGATCACAGCATAGGTAAGCAGTAATTTGTCATTTCTATTTAAACCAAACTTAGTTTCTTCCTTCTCGCATTTTTTCAGTATCTTTTTTTTTCTCTTTCTTTCCCAATTTTTTCTCTAATCAGAGACCCGTTCCATAGGGGTAAAAAAAAAAAAATAAGAACAAAAAGAAAAAAAAATTAAAAATAAAAGTAACCGAATGTTCCGATTATTCGACACAGAACTGCCATTTTTAATTAACGTCAATTGCGACTACCAATTCCATCGTAGAATGTAGAATTAAAAATGTAGAATTTAGAATTTAATGTGGCAAAGCAACCTACTCGGAATAAATAGAAGGCAGATGCTTTTAAACGTGCCGGAGTGTCCCTCGATTCATTAAACATCGAGGAAAGCTTAACAGGTACGTTAAGCGCCAGCACGAACGATTACAACACCTATCGCGTGAAAATGAGCTGAGCGAATAGGTGGAAAATAGCTGGAAGGGAAGGGAAAAAAACTGGATAACAGAAAAGCTTCGGTATAAGGGAGAAAGAAAAGAGTGGTGAAGGAATGAGGAGAAAGGGAAAGAGGGAAGAAAATATTTGTCTTGAAATTACGAACTGTAAGTGTCGTCGGTAAACATGGAATCGATGTGAAGAGTGCACTTTTAAAACTCGCAACAAGAAAAATACCTCGAAGGTTTTTAAAATTAAAATGTTAACAGACTCTTTTTCCCCTCTTTTCTTTCTTTATTTCTTTTCTTCTCTTTTTTTTTTCTTTTGTCACGCACATTCTCGTGCGTACGTAGTTTAGTGGTTGTTATCGGACATAGCTCGAGGCTGGACGAAAGGACCACTTCTTAAAAGAACTGCTGAGTCCTCTTAGCAAGGACAACACACCATCATGGACAAAAGATTTTCTCTTTTAAAGTCGGCCCTTATTTTTAAAGAGAATTTATCTTACTTATAGTTACTAAGAAAGAGATAAAGAAAAAGAGAAACAGAAAGATACCGGCGGTGGATGTCAACTTTACTTCTCTTTATGATATTTCTCCTTTCGATAGATAGAACGACGTTGAACGCATATTGCTGGATATACAGTACGTTCACAGTGGCACGTCACTTAAAGGGAATACCAGGTCGAACTGTGGCAAGTCCGGGAATAGGAAATACATTACAGGACGACGAATTATATTACCATCGTTACTATCAGTGGGTTAGTAATATCCTTATTCTGTCTCTTTAGACATTTACCTTTTAAAATGTTTTATATTAATGGACAGAAACTTTATCAGAACTCACCTTTTCATCTTTGACATTTTAAGTAATATTAATTATTCAAATGAATTTATTCATTATAAAGCATCACATTATGTGTGTATATAGACAGATACCTTAGACAGTTATTCGCTACTAATCATTTCTTTAAATGTTACAGAAATGTTCTCTCAATTAAATCTATTTCCGTGTGTTGCCACTTTTTATAATAAAATATTTACAATTGACAACCGCGCCTGAAAATAGTCATCACTTCTTGCACACTTGGAAATAGTGATTACGAACGCCATCTATCAGTCGGAATATTTTTAAACCTCTTTTAATAGCTACGTCAATATTGTTTCATACGTGTACGGAGGATTGCCTACCAAAAGGGGGCTTATACCAAAAAGTTCTTACTGATAGATGGCGTTCGATACCACGATTATCGACGAAGTATGGAGTGTTGCCTACTTTTTAGGCGTGTAATTTCTTTTTACTCAACAAATTTTGAATCTGTAACGAGAGAGAAATAATTAAAAGAAATTGTTAACGATTCTTTGTTCTGTGTGTCAACAAAATATTATCAAAATTGCAATAGGTAGTTTTCAAAATTGTAAGAAGATCTTTAAATGCATCAAATTTAAAAAAAAACAGGGTAAACGTTAACGTCCCCATTGGCAGCAATTAAAATATCTCCCTCTCTCTCTCTCTCTCGTTTTTTATACATAAAATTGTCAGAAGCAAAAGGTGTTTCGTCGCTAGAATTTCTGTTCATGAGAGAAAACAACGCGAGTTAGGTAACAACAGACGCGTCTCTCACGCAACAGGTCTGCTTTATTCTCGGCTTACAAGCGATTCTCTTTTACGTGCCGCGAGCATTATGGAAAATATGGGAAAGGGATACCGTCGCTTTACTCACGAAGGACCTTTCCACTTCTTTTTTGGACCGACATACTTGGACCGAGGATAGAAAACGTCAACTAGTCGACTATTTTATTCAAAGTGATCTTCGTACTACACACAATTTCTATGCTTTTCGTTATTTTCTTTGTGAACTTTTTAATTTTATCAATACGGTAAGTAACATAAAAAAAAAAAAAAAATGATAGAGAAGAAGAAAAATCATTTTTGAAGAAAATGTTGAATCCACCCAGATAGGACAATTATATCTACTTGATCTATTGTTCGAGGGTGAATTTAAACGCTACGGAATAGCAGTAATAATATTTGCCAAGGAAAAACAATTAACCGATAAGATAGATCCAATGACCCGACTCTTTCCGAAGGTTACCAAGTGTACGATGTATAGCTTCGGCTCGGCTGGTTCGACACAAATACACGACGCTCTTTGCGTTCTCTCTTTGAACGTCATGAACGAAAAGGTCTTCTTTTTTCTTTGGTTCTGGTTAATATTTCTTACGATCCTTGGCTTTTTTGCTATCTTTTACAGGTAAATTAACTATTTCTGTCTTTTTAATTAACCCGTTTTATTCATATCTCTTATACACATAATTATACTTCAATATTTTCCTGTTCGATACTCCTGTTACAGAATAATTGTTTTCTCTCAAGCGAAGGTAAGAGTTTATCTTTTGCGAGCTTCGATAAGGACCCTTGCGCATGCCAAGGCAAATACCATCGTTCAAGTGCTTACTTTTGGCGATTGCTTTCTCCTCCATCGACTAGCACAGAACGTGAACCCGGTCATATACAGAGAACTAATCGACGAATTGGCAGTCAGCCTATCGACCAAGCATTTCAAAGAATTAGTTTAACTCTTACAATTTATCTTTCCAATCGATTTAATATACACTCGTACGTACAATAAAATACACACAAACACATATGTGTTTAAGGTAGATAGATATATATTATTTGATCAAACCTGATCATTTGCAATTATTTGTAATAACAATAGAATAGATTCTCAATAATATAAGAGAATTTCTATTTTTAGATAATATTAGTATTTCTAATTATATTCAATTATTGCAATATAAATATTTTTAACAATATTATTAATTTATGTTCATTCTAGACGTGTATATTAAAATTTACTTATAATAGAATTGAATTATTACTCGTATCTATAACGAGAGAGATATGTGAAGAATCCAAGTTACCATTGGAGATTCATTTAAATCACATTAATTCGAGTATTGGTCGATAGATAGCACTTCAACTGTAAAGTAATCGATTACTAATCGATTTTATGATTAGTAATCGATACGAGACGTTAATTGTCTCTAATTTCATCGCACATAATTGCATTTAATAACATACAATTACCAAAGTAGTGAAAATAAAGAAGAATAACAAGGAATAAATAAATGAATACACATAATTTTTCAGTATTACCGTCATTACCTATAATTATTACTAATGTTTTTGTCAAAGAAATAATTTTACAGATGTCGAAAGACAAATTTTGCATAAAAGTATGTGCAAAACAAGAGAAAGAGAGAGAGAGAGAGCACATAACGCCATCTGTTGATATTCTCGTTGAACTATTTCTCTCGTATCTATGCAAAAAAAACAAAAAATAAAAATAAAATTTACTGTAAAATATTCGTTGAGCAGTCGCAAAAGGAGGAACAGCAGCAGGGTGCCTCTCCTACAAGAATTCATCGTCTACAGTAGTGTAGTAGTAGTAGTAGTTTAGATTAGTTTAGTGTTAGTATTAGTATTGTATTAGTACTTGCTAACTAAAAGAATAGGCCAGGAGATAGAGAGAGAAAGAAAAAGAAAGAAAAAGAGAGAGAGAGAGAGAGAGAGAGAGAGAGAGAGAGAAAGAGAGAGAGAAAGAGAAAAAAAGAGAGGAAGATAGATTGTAGTGTGCAGTTGTGCAGAGAGTCATAAGTTCGAGGTATTTTTGTTCGATCGGAAAGACGAGACGAAGTGGCGGGAATTGAACGTCTTCCTTTTAACAATTTAAAAAAACGTGGCGGGGGAAAGGAAAAAAAACAAATCATAGACACACATATATATATATATATATATAGAAGAAAAAGAGAAGAAGAAGAAGAAGACAAATTGCTAATACATGTGGATGCTGTAATTACCATTGACAAGTTTCTATAAACCCCAACGACGTTGATAATGATGATGATGATGATGAAAAAAGGGTAAACAGGAATGCAATATCTTAAATAGAAGGAAAAGAAAGAAGAAGAAGGGAGTAAGAATAATCCAGCTGTTGTGTATGTATGTATGTATGTATGTATGTATGTATGTATGTATGTATGCGTGTACACTTATTGGACAATGAGAAAATTCTAACCCTTTTCGTATTATCGTGTTCTTCGTCATCCTTTGACAATCATCGTCTTTGCCGTGGAATTAATAAAAACAGATACCGTATAAGGTAATTCCAATCTCTTGAAATCATCCAATCCGATATATAGAAAATAAAGGAAATAATAATAATAATAATAAGATACCTCGCATGATCGAGAAGAAGGAATTAAGAACAAGAATAAGAATAAGAGAAAAATCATGGCTACGGTGTTCGAGAGTCCATTTCTGTCAAACCGATTACGTCAAATTGAGGAACGTTACGACGAGCCTAACACCTTCGGCAGGTGCGATTGCACCAGCTATAGTTATCTGTCATTAAGCGTAGTTCTGTTCACGGTTGGCACTACGATCACCGTGTTCGCGCTCGGTGATATCGCCGAGGGACATGTATTTTCCCATTTTGGCCACATGTGGTTAATCGGACCGATCTTCATTAGTTCCGGATTTATGGTTGCCGTTAAGTGTATGCTATATCTAAGAAGAAAATCCGTTATACAGATGATCTATCATCAACGACAACTTTTCAGGGTACAAATCTTTTCCATTTTGCATTAATTCGTTTTATCTTTTTTTTAATAAGTTTACTTCGATCTCTTTTACATTGGTTTTTTATTTTGTTGTATTTTTTTTTTTTTTTTTTTTTTTTTTTTTTACTTTGTTTTTTCCCATGCAGGCAAAAATATAAATAATATACATCTACATGCATAATTGCGGTTATTTGTTTACCGCGATAACGATCCGTTGTACGGGC